ATTCTCTGCTTGCATCTAAGCCACCGTATTTCTTTTTTGCCTTTAGAAACGGAACGGTATCACCTTGTAGGTCCAAAAATGGGACTGGGATTTTGCCGTTTTGTTGAGCGATCTCGGCTCTACTCACCAACAGGCGGTGAGACAGGAAGTGCCGAAATTTCGGAGCAAAAAGACGGTTCACCTGCAATCGTAGCGACAGTAACGACAGATGATCATCGCCTCGTTGGGCCTGGTGACCGAGTCAAGTTTTTTGCCGAGGTCAGAAATGGTGTCTACCACCATCTTCTCGTAGTCTTTCAGAAATCAGTCACTGTATAACGAGCAAAGGGACACAAACGCCTAAATAAGAGCAGTTTCTTATAATTGACAGTGTAATCAAATTGCCTTTGTAATAACTTCAACCCTCCTCCAGCTGGTAGCTAATTTTGTTCTAACCAATCGTTCCCACTTTTCTTCCCCAGCTTTTCTCTCGTATTTTGACTCCTAGTCGCGTTGGGGGTTTTCCCATGTCATTTTTTTGTGGAATTTTTAACTGCTAGCGCCTCCAACTTTAGTAAACGATGAGCCTCGGGGATATTCGCGTAGCCTCATCTCCTAATTTACGCCACTCCTAGGATCGGCGTCTCATTGCACCACCATGGTAGGCCCTTTGGATGTGAAAAATGTAAATAGTTAACTCGTACTCACAAACAACTTTTCGATAGCAATCGTGTACTGCTTGTCATCCTTGAAGATGTCCCCTTCTCCCTTCGAATAAATGAGACTTTCAATACATCCACGTCGGCTGTCATGGTGTTGAGAAGAGAGATGTGATGGAATCCTTGGGCTTTACGTATTTGCTTTTACTTGAGCTGAGTTGAGAAGACTTCTTCAGTATCTACAAAAGTTGCAACGACTAAGCGTTGCCCACTGAGAGAGATGATAGGTGGAGTTCTTCATCTCCATGGATGCGGCTGGCGTTAACACGGCTCTTTCGACGTCCAGAATTGATGCAAATTCCTCTACATCCAATGTCTGTTGAACGCCTTAAAAGACAAACGCCAAGAGCGGCTTTTATCTACAATCTTCCCTTGTTTTTCACCACAAGTTAGGTATTGGGAGATGGTCTCAAGGTCGCCTGCCTCATCTCACAATGTCATGAACGGGGATCGGGTCGTCTTGTTGTTTGTGTAAATGTGCTGTGTATGTCGAGAATATTGGCAACCCAGTTAATCGACAAGGTCGGTCAGTTTCCGCCGAGTAGGCCACAATCCTTTCCCCGCTCAATGCCTCCCCGACCGTTTCCTCGATTGTTGCTTTCGTTGTATTTGCGTTTTACTCTCCTTCTCCTCCTCCTCCTCCTCCTCCTCCCCGTCCTCCCCTGCCTCTCGTCTTCCTCCGTGTTGTCCGCCTAGTGAGATTGATTTGTGGGACATTGTTTCCTTTTCCCTCTCTGGCTTGATCCTGAAGACACCGACGTTTTCCGCATGTGTCGTTTTCGGTGTCAGATGTTTTCGAAAACATCACTCCGATTGCTCATCCAAAGTTGTTTTGCTGTTTGCGTGAATCACAAAGCCCCCACGTACACAAACAGCCTCACATACGGAGGTGGAACGGTCCTTTAACTGGTTCCACACTTGATCGGTGAAACGAGAGCCACGAGAGGCTTCTTTATTACAACCTCAATGCTTTGCAGATCCAATCTCGTCTGTAGCCATCTTTGAAGGCATGGTAAAGCAGACGCGTCTAAAAGGGAGGCCAAACGGTCTCTTTCACCAACCCGGAAACCAACGCGATGTAGTGATCAAGTATCAAAGAACTTGGAGGCATTCGTGCGAGAGGAAAGAGAAGATTTCAAGATTCACCTGTAATTTTGTCTCTTGATGGATCGGCTTTGATTTTATTTCTCTTCCGTCTCCTTGTCAATCACTTGTTTGGTGCCCCTCAGAGTTATTCTCATGTTTTTGCTATTCCTCCATCACTGCCTTCTTTGATAAGAAAAATTATGTGGAAAGGAAAAGATCTTAACAAAGTGAACGTGCATCTCAAATCTCTCTTAAAGGTGTCTTAAGTACATTTACAGGTATGAAGACATTTAAATCCTCCGGCACCTGTATTCACTTTTACTGTATACAATTGAAACCCATGTCATTGAAAGCGCGCTTATCCTGTCTCCCAAAATAGATATTTTGGATTGAAGAGGAG